TTCTGGTTCAACCACGCACAAAGTAAGAGATGAGAGGGGGGAGGTATACAGTGACAAATTACTTGTCAAACTACATCCCTGCCCATCCCTTGATTAGCTGAGATTTATAAAAATATAGCTTGACATTTCAGAGAGAAAAATTTCTTTTCCCCCTCCCCCACTATCTAAAACATAAGTTTTCCATAAAACAGGCTCTGAGAGAAAATTATGACCACCTGTAAGATTGTGCTTCTCTCTGCTACTGCAGGAACTGCTGACCACAGTGGACTCGGTAACTGTGGATCTAGATTTTGCAGGATGTATCTCAAAAGAGAAAGGACTGACGTAACTCTCTCTTCTGGAAAAAAACCCAAGCTGCTTCTGAAAAGCCATCAAGGGCATTATCTCAATCTATGCAATTCTAAAGGAACTTCACCAACTTGTACAGAATTAAATACCTATTATATTTTCAATAGCTGCCTGAGGGATGCCTGAAGCAGGAAGAAAGAAAATTACATTAAAGAGGAAATCCAGAGTTTTGGTAGTGGTAGAGGAAGAAGATTTTTCTATCAGTCTACTGTTCTGCTACAGTTTGTCAAAGGCCAGGCTACAGATCTCAGGTAGGTTAAAAAAAGTTCAGTTAACCTGCATTTTCTGCCTTATATTTCAGGCACCTAATTCTGAAATGCCAGAACGTCAGAAGATATTTTAAAAATAAAAATTAAATTGCACTGTCTCAACTATGTGATGGCAATATGAAATGACTATTTCAATTTTTATATATAAATAACATTTATGATACCCCTGGGAATCTGCTTTGAAGGCCAAAGCCAATGACCAGAAGTTATTTGCACTAATCAACCAATAAAACACTTGCTGAATTGTGTTCCTCTTAGAACCTGTGATGTGTACTACAGCCGTACACAGTAATCTTCCTATGACACATTCAGTAAAACAGTTCTTCGTAAAAGAAGGGAGAAATCAGCAACACCCAAGTGCTGGAACAAGCAATTACGTCCATGCCAAAGCACACATGCCTTAAGCTGGCTACCAGTGTGACATCCAATTTTAAATGGTTAGGTCACAAATTGAACATACTCCCCTCATTACTCGGTTACTGCTTAGAAATCTTCTCTAATCTATTTTTAAACTCTTCCTTTGTATGCTGGATAAGAACTTAATTTAAGTGATTTCTTATAATCTGGAGGTAGAACTTTAATGTAGGCTTCGAAAACCACAGCTGGCAGCAAGAACAACAAGCTAGTTGTCAAAGCAGCTTTCAGAGACAGAGCCTATGCAAAAGGCAAACATCTGAAAGAGGGTTCTGATATCCCAGAAAACTACTGTGGCTTAACAAGGCACTATCCATCACAGGTACTGTAACAGTTGACTGCAGATATGTTTAGAGCCTGGGGCTAATGAAAAGCATTCCTTACTGGCATTTGAGCCATCAGCTGGACCAACTGAGCCTCAAAAGGCTCATCATTTTCCCTGTTCAGATACGCTGAGACAAGGATTCCTGCCAACACTCCTGCTGAATGTCTCTTACTAGTTTTAAATTGACACACTCGATTCAAGCAATTCAACCTAAAGGCAATTGTGGAAAATATTCAAATACTTGGTTCTATAGAGGAATAAAATCAAAAGACTAACAATTCAGGATGTTATCACAAAATGTTAAGCGATACCCCTCTTTTATGCTACAGAAGAGGGAATTACTCCATCTGAACTATAATGAAACGCAGAATTGGAAATGAATGTCCATTTAAGTGGCTTTGTGCTACAATGCAAGAAAAATACAATTTGCTTAATAAACTGCTAGCACATGTGAAACTGTGTTTCATCATAATCCCCATTAAAGACTCTTTTAGGCACAGTTTCACCAATGTAGTACCTTTAACACAAATCATTCAAATACTGCAGTGTTCTCTCACCACAGAGAAGACATTTTCAAGGAGCACTTGAAATGCAGGATTTCTGACAGAAAAGGCAGAAACTACCACTCACAGAAGCACAAATTTATACAAGTTCTTAAAGGGTGTGATGTTTTAGCTTTTATTGACCCTGCATGTAATACTGGTACTAAAACATGAAGAAATCTTTTCCCTCCCCATTAATACAGTCGTGTCAACAGAAGCAGGCCACACGATGTGTGATCCTTCCCTTGTGCCCTTGTGCTTTACTTTGACATAGATCAGAAGATCAGCTCCTGGCATACCCAACCAGGCACTTTAGATCTGTCTTCTGTGTCTGTAACATTCCCCACATCAACACTATCAGTGTCCAGTTTCAGAAAAGAGGTCACCCCTTTAAAGAAGAACAGGGCACTTATGCCACAGAGATGACCCACTGTGTAAGTCATGCAGGTCCTGCAGCTCACTTTTGCCAACAGAGCCTTGAGTACCTTTCCACTAAGCCTGCTGGACATGGGGGCTGAAGGGCCTTTCCAGCAAAGCTGCATGAACGAAAAGCCCTGAGAACAGATCTGCTCACCAGGCACCAAAAAAGGTTGCATAGCAAAGCCCCGGGCTTGGAGGTAGAAATAGTAGATGAGGTATTGCCACTTAAACCTTTTGATGCTCTCCCTCTAACTATCTCTGGGAATTCTTACTCCCCTAAGGATTCTCCAGTACAAATAAGGCATTTCTTTTTTTTGGTCTTTATCCAGCAAATAAAAAACACTTTCCAGGATTTTGGACAAATCAAATGTATGTTTTAATGCATTCATTTTTCCTGAATCCTATTGCTCTTTAGGATAGAATTGTTCAATTACTGTGTATATTTGGGGGCTATTCTTACAGGAATGGTCAAAGACAGGTAACACTTTTAAAACAGTGAGAATTATGCCAAGTACAAAAGTACTATTGTAATAATGAGCAATTTCAATACTACAGCTGTAATGAGAAGTTCCAGGAACATGGTTAAACTAAATTCTGCTTGGCTCGGAGCCATGCAAATACTTCTTTTCCATATTCCCATCAATTACAGAAGTACAGTAAGTGTTTTTGTGCTTAAGTGCACTATTACAGGGGACACAAATAAGCCATTTTTCTTCCAGTGTTTGGAGCTAGCATTTCTATAATATCATATTACACATCTGGCAGACTTGAAGCATGCTCAGACTCTTACTTGTGCTGCATTAGGAAGCCACGCCATTTGAATCAACTGAAAATGGGTAGTGTAACTGCATGTCCTAACCAGACTACACGTCTACAGTAGTCATAGAGCTGTTTTTACTTTGTACCGTATAAGTGTTTACACTTGGGAAAGTAGCCACCATGAGCAGAGAACAATTATTGTTAAATGTTTGTATGCAAACAACAGCAGATATGTACCATGAAGGAAGCATTAAACAAAAAATTACACTTGCCATTTTAAATCCATGTTTTAGATTGACAAATCTATACTGAGACTTAATTAGGAAAATTAATAATCTTACTAATGAAGAAAAGCTAACCAGAGGTTAGGTAAAGTGCAAACACTTTACACACTTTTTAGGTGAAATAAATCATCCTCACAAACGCTGCCTTCCATCAGTGATAAAGTCTATCAAAATGTAAAAGTACAATAGAAGTGCAAGGTACTCTCTCACTGCGTATGAGCTGCAGTCTGTGTGTACCATGCATGCTTATATCTCCCCTTGCAGAAGCCCCAAACTATAGCACGAGTGTGTTAGGACAAAAACAATAAAACCAAAATTAAGCATTTTCTGAAGCTTCCAGTTCCATGTGGAGTGCACAACAAAGACACCTCAGAAGTGCAGGGAGATGAGTTTTTATTACACTAGTATAAAAAGTTAAATGTCCCATGGAATTAATCATTATCATTAAACAGAAAAACTATTAACAGAAACCACTTTTCCATGCTCAACTCTCTGATTTGTGTGACCATCTTAGAAAAGAAATCAAGGTATTTCACTGAGAGTTAGATATCACATTCATGTTCTGCATGTTCTTACCAATCCTTTACATGTAGAACATGTAAAGTATCTGGCCACACAAAGATAGCACCTATCCGAATAGGAATGTTGGGGAATACAGTTCCGTTCTCTTCAAGGCAAATTGGTAAACTCCGAGAAGACTGAAAGGTCTGACCTTACACACTGGACTGCTGCTGGCAGGAGATTTCTGACCCATGTAAGAATGACTGTGAAATAACTATGGCAGTTAGAAATTGTTAAATGTGAAATTACTAACATGTTGATCCAGGAAGACAGCATAGTTTTGTGGACAGCTTTATGCTGGACAGTAAAGAGGATCCCATTTTCTTCAGTTAAAATTGATCTCAACTGCAGTATTAAAAACTGTAGAATTATCATATCTGCACATATTACAGTTAGCACAATTAAAATAAGGTAAAGCTCTCAAATGTTACCATATTTCTTTTTGTACTGCAATTGTTAGGTTTTAATGGCAATAATTTGCATGGTAGAACTATGCACAGACCCTCATTTTACTGTTACTTTTCATGTGGAAAGGCAACTATTACCCCAAACCCCTCCTGCACACCCAGCTGAAGAAAGATTTACTCCATCTAACAAAGGGTTATAAAACTGAGCCTTCCTTCACAGTAGCACAGACAGCAAAGGCAAGACAACAACTCTTTTGAATGCTCAAGAGCAGCAATGCTAAGAGAGTTCATAGGCACTTAAAGTGACCTTTAAAGAAGTCTTTAAAGTCTCCTACTCTGGATAATTGGTCTAGACTACTTACAATATACCCATTTTTTGGGTGCTGAAAGCACTGATCTAGCTAGGCCACATGAGGTAGTTTTGACTCACTGTTTTCTTTTCTATTACATTCCTAAAATCCAAGCAGTGCAAAAACTCTGATTTCCATTATGACAGTACACAAAGAAAGTGGCTGTATCCTATTTTGACCCCTCTTTCTGAGACAGAATAGTATTTTCAGACAGAAGGACTGCAACACAGTGTTTACAAGAACTGATACGATGGGATCACAGTAGCATAACATCATAGCCCCCTGGTTGTAGATGACACATGAGAAAGCAAATGGACTTACTGACAATTCTTTGATTAATTTTCTTAGTTCCTTGTGTCCATGTTTCTCCGCGATACTTTCTGGATCATCTCCATGTTTATTGGTTATTTTGCAAGCCCACGTGGCCTCAGGACAACTGAGTAGAAACATTGCAAGGTTCTTTAATCCAAATCTGGCTGCACAGTGAAGGAGGGTAGGAAACTCTTCCAGATGGCTATCTGTATATGGAAACAAAGTCCTCATGAAGAACAGTTTTGCTCTAATAGAAAACCTTTCACAAAAGTCCTCTATTAGCACTATAGAATCATAGTTATCAAACTGCCAATACAGAACTAGCACCAAAGAACAATTTTCCCAATTAAAGTTTTACAATTCATATATCAATAGAAGAGCAGTTAGCGTAACTGAGAAATCTCTTTTTTTGCTGACAGAGAGATTTGAAAGTGCTTTAGTTTTATTGAGAAAGAAGATTTCTTGCAAGGGGAAAAAAAAATTTATAGCTAAGACATGCTTTTGCTTAGGTGGAGTATTTTTAAGACATTTGAATGGGACATTTTTATAGGTTTATGGTGCTATCTTTTGATATTAAAATCCATTTCTGAAAATTCACTCGCAAAAAAAAAAGAGGCTTGCAAAAATTTGCCTAAACCTATAATGAAAAATCAGAGAACTTAAAGATGAATGTATTGGATAAGTTTTTAGGATTTATCTGATATAACATGGCATCAGTTTCCACCACAGACTATTTTTACACTGGAGGACTGGGACAGTCAATGTATTGTTTCAGCAGTCCTGTATTTTAACTCTATGAGTGACCACAAGTTACATACAAAAACAAACAAACAAAGGAAAGGGTTCAAACATAAACAGTACTTCTCTATGCCTTCATACTCTACTTCCTAATCACTTGGGGTTTGTTGTTTACCAATTTGTCTGTGTATTAGCATGCAGTGTATCTCTTCTCCAAGCATGCATCCAGCCTGCCCCATGCACCATCAGTTCCATGCACAGAGGGTTTTTATTATCGATTGCAAGAAGGAGTGCTTCCTCTAGTTTGTTTTGAACCTGGCTTCTGCTACATTCTGTTGAGTGCCCCTAATTCATCTTACTCTCCCACCTCTGTCTGCCCTCTCTGCAATTCTAGCGATTTACTCATTCCCAGAATTTCTTCTTGAAGGGCTCCAGTCTTAGGCCTTACAGAGAACAAACTCCATCACCCATACCGCTCTCTCCAGAACCTTTTCCAGCTTTAATGTAACCATTTTAAGATGACAGGAGAAGAGCTGCACATGATACTCAACTTGCGGGTGAGCCATGTAATTTATGCATTGCCGTAATTATGCCCTGTTTTGTTCTCTATTCCCTTTCTAATAATTCCTAGTATTTCATTAGCTTTTTGATCTGCTGCCTAGCAACAAGTCGATGTTATCATGGAGCTGTGCAGTCTTATTCCTCAGTACTAATAGCCTGCTCAAACCTTCTCATTTTGTATGACAACACAGGCCTGCTTTTTCTACTTGCATTGCTTCGTTTTTACCTACAATGAATATCATCTCACGTTTTACTGCATAATTACTAAATCTCTCACTCCTGTGTCCCCCCCGTTTCCCCATTAGCCCTCCTCCTTGTTGCCCTGAATACCTTCTATCATCAGAAAAAAAAAAGATTTTCCCAATTGTCTGCCTCCTGGTTTTGATCAGTTGTTCATCCATGCCCAAACAATTACTGACTTAATCAGGTTTGCTGACTCTTACAAAAAAATACAAGAAATCTATAAAGCCAGACTTCACATTACAGAAAATTTATTTTATTAAAACTTCTATTAATTAGTCTGGTAGAGATAACACATTAACCTGCTTCTAGTTCTCAATGTCCCCTGAGAAAATGAGTTTTAGCATCATAGTCACACCTTCCAGTACTACAAAACTGAAAAATTCCACACTACTATTAGAAACTCAGATATTTTATTTTAACATTTCCTCAGAGCTCTTAATGAATGACAGTCCTAGTAATTTTTTTGTGTACAACCTTACCATTTTTGCTACAGCTTCATGATTCCTTCAACTCCAGTCTCTTTCCATGTGTCTCCAAATCAGGACTACAGCTTGGAAATCTACAGAGTTTCTTCTAGCATTCTTGAGTTTTCTTTTATATCCTAGTCATTGGTTGTCCTACAGGCTAGCCAGCACATTATCAGCCCTTAGTGTGCTGGAAGAAAGTCTAAGTAGTAATGTCTCCTTTTGGAATTCTCTTAGCTGCCAGTCTTTAACAAAAACTTTTTCATTTTTATATTCTTCTGCATATTAAACTTCGGCTCAGCAGTGGTGAATTTGTGTACCTTCCCTCCTCATCCCTTTGTTGCTCCTGCAGAATGGTAATACAGGAGAGAGCAAAACCTCACTCCATCATTAGATGTAAGGATTCAAGGAACAAGAGGAGTTCTTGGAATAGTCACAGCTAAGTACTGATCGACCAAAAAATTGTTAGGACAACTCTTGACTGTATTTTGGACAAAGAATATTCCACCAGTATCAATCCAATATTATTTTGCCACAAGGAATTTGAGTGGACTACATTCTAGTCAAAAGTCCCATTAATAACTCTATCTTTAAACAGAGTGTTGCCTGACTTAGTTCCACCAAGCAAAGAAAAATCTAACCAAGAAACTGTAAATACACAACACCTGTGTAAATCACGTCACTTCTTTTAGAAGCCTTGGGAGGCAGAGCTTCCATCAGTAATATTATGTATTGTAGCTCATATTCCTCTGCATTTGCAGTGTGCTTTAAAATCCTTTGAGCTACAACAGACAATCTTAAAACTGCATACAAGCTAAGTTTTTTGAGAGAAGTAGGTGCCACACAATTTCTTCATTCCATATTGTTCATAAACTAGGATTAATTCTGAAATTTGAAGAACTATGCCAGAGTATAGGCATTAGACTTCTTATTTTTATCTATACTTTTCCAGCTGCAGAGAAAAACTAAACCCCCATCACAGACTGAGGCATATATACAGCAAAAGCAAAAGGAGCTTTCACATGAGCAGTAAAAATGTATCTGAGAAACAATGTCCAGCAATGTAGCAAGTGTTGAGCAGTAATTTCAAAGAAGAGTGAATTACACAAACCCTAATCAATAGTTTTCACCCTGTTAGCAGACATGAGGTCAAACACAGTCATTAAAAAGAGGCTTGACAAAGTATTAATAACATGTTCCAAAAGAATTTCCACTCATACTAATGAAACCTAAAACAATTGGTTACAAATCCGAAAGGGGAAATAAGTCTATATCACCAATAGACTGGATGTTATGATTTCTTCACCAATACAAAGAGAAAAAGAGTAGGTGGTATTAATAAGCCTGCTCTGGGCTTAAATGTGCATTTTTAAAGTAACACAAAACAGAGGTATTCAAAAATCTCTTGGGCTCCTTTGCACTTGAGACGTTTTTCCTGGTCACCACTCAACTCCTTCCTAGCTGGGTTTGATATTCAACCAGCACTCCTACACTTACATTCTTTTACACTTACAGAGACTACATCATTAAGAAACAAAATATCTCTGCCAGCCATGGAGGATGTAAAAATCAATAAATCAATTTCATAAAACAAACTTTTTTTTTATATTGCTCCCTGTAGCAAGTGGAAAAAAAAGGCTGGTGTTAGGTAGGAATACTTTAAAAGCAATATGCAGTGCCCAAAACTGCACACAATATTCAAGGTGAGGCTGCCCCAGTGCAGAGCAGAGCAGAGCAGGACAATCCCCTTCCTCAACCGACTGGCAATGCTTTGCTTGATGCCCCCCAAGACATGGTTGGCCCTCCTGGCTGCCAGGGCACAATGACTCAGATTCAACTTGCTGTCAACCAGTTGCCTTCCAGCCCCAGTCTGTATGAATATCCAGTGTTGCCCCATCACAGGTGCAGAAACTGGCACTGTCCCTTGTAGAACATCATGTGGCTGGTGATTGCCCAGTCCTCTAATTTGTCAAGGTCTCTCTGCAGGGCCTCCCCGCCTTTGAGGGAGTCAAAAGCTCCTCCCAATTTTGTGTCATCTGCAAACTTGCTCATTATCCCTTTCAGTCCTCCGTCCAAGTAATTTATGAAGATGTTGAAGAGCTCAGGGCCTGAGATGGAGCCCTGTGGAACCCCATTAGTGACAGGTCACCAGTCTGATGTCACCCCATTCACTATCACCGTCTGTGCTCAAGCCATGTGCCAATTGCTCACCCACCACATGATGTGTTTATCCAGCTGTGGGCTGGACATTTTGTCCAGCAGGATCCTTCGAGAGACAGTATCAAAACCTTTACTGAAATTCAAAAAGATGACATGAACTGGCTTCCCTTGATCAGCTAGATGGGTTACCTTGTCGTACAAGGAAATCAGGTTGGACAACCAGGACATTCCTCTCATGAAGTTGTGCTGGCTGTGACCAATGACTGCACTGTCTTTCAGGTGTTTTTCAATGCCTCCCAGAATAATCTCCTCCATAACTTTACCAGGCACTGAAGTGAGACTGACAGGCCTATAGCTTCTGGGCTCCTCCTTCTTGACCTTCTTGAAAATTAGGACAATGTTCTCCAGCTTCCAGTCAGCTGGGACCTCTCTGGATTCCCAAGACTGCTCAAAAATCATCAACAGAGGTTCTGCAATGACACCAGTCAGCTGTTCATCCTAGGATTCTGGGATGAATCCCATCAGGCCCCAGAGATGGAGTAGTAAGCTCAGGGTCAGCTGGGAGTTGATCATTCTCACAGTCATGGTCCTCCAGCTCAGGGCACTGAGACCCGATTGGTCTATTATTCGTGTTGAAGATAGAGGCAAAGAAAGCGTTAAACACCTTGGCTTTATCTCGGTCTTTATCTTACCGCCATTTGTGAGGTGACCATCCTCATCTTGGAACTGGCCAATGATATTTCTGCCTACTGTCATTAATGTATTTGAAAAAACTCCTTTTACTGTCCCCCACATTTCTGGCCAGCTGAGCTTTGGCCATATGAATTTTCTCCCTACAGCAGCCAGTAGCATCTCTGAATTCTTCTCTTGTCACTTGACCTTGCTTCCACTGGAGAATGTTAATAAAGAAAAGCTGTGGCTGTTTGGCACCTACACTAAGAACTAGTTAGCTGGTGACAACAAGCAGGAAGGAAATGTTAAAAAATACCACTTGAGCACTTTAAGTGCTTTAAGGTGGCTTCTCTAACTTTCAACTAACATTAAGACCGGGGTTTGCTTTTAATTAAGTTTTATTTGACGTGCACAAGGTTAAAAGGGAACTGATGCTCTCTAAGTTTTGTCCTGTCATAATCCCTTCTCTACAGAGAATTCTGCGAAACCTCAGCTATAAAGCACACCATAAAATCTAATATTACTGTATTGTAGCACTGTCTTGGCCTGCAGGAATTTCCATAAAATTGTAGCAAGCAAACAGAGCAGCCTACAGTGATCTTTTTGTAGATCTTGTAAGACATACTTCTTTTATTTCCAAAATTATTGCAACAGGACATGATTTTTTTAGCAATTTAAATAGGCACTTAAGATGACCTCTACAGTGCCAATTCCTTTCCTCCTCCCCATTATTTTGCTGGCAGCTGAAAATCCAGAATAAATTATTTCTTCTTTTGGGATAGATGTTTCAGGTTGAAAGAAAGAATTACAGAAACCAGGATAAGATTTTCTACATTGCTAGCAGTGTTAGAAGAGAAAATACAGCATTTTCTACAAAGCAAATTCAGAACCTGTCATAAGCCTTGATGTGTAAATTGAATCAGAGAAGCAGAAACAGTTTTTAAAGAAATGAAAGTTAATTAATGGTGGAAAAAGAAGCAGTTTTTTCTCAAGTAGATTGCCATCTCTTGGACAGGAATTAATGTAGTAGGAATTCCCAAATCTGAGAACTCACGAGCAGAATCAGAGCTTACCATGAAAACCAGAAATATGTATCAAGAAATATAATCTTGGAAATATAAGTTTGGATTGGTTAGTATGTTTTGACTGGATTCTATTAGTAGAAAACAAAAGAATAATATACATACAACATATCCTGAAATCAATTTGGTACAGAACGTACAATATTCCAGACAATACTGCCAGCTTTAGTTACATTTTTCTGCAAGGGATGACACCACCACTAAAAATCCCAGACATGCCTTGGCTCTGTCTTTCAGTTAACCCTGTCATTAAAAACAATATTTTCCTATGTATTCTATTCAGCTTTTATTCTATTCATCCATTTAGCTTTCTCATCTGATTGGGCTTCCTGCATCTCCCTTTATAGAATGCAGAATAACCTCTTGAAATATCATTCATTACTAAAACTTTCTTCTCCTCCATCACCTGAAAAATGTCATTATCTTCTATCTTCTGTACTGCTACTAAGTAATATCCATACATGATATATGTTTTTCCAGTAGAGATTCCCAATTTACTTGTTGGTTACTACAATAACTAGTACAGTCTGACACTTCATCAAAAGCAAGCAACTGAAACTCATCTTGTGCATGCAGTCCAACAAGTGAGATCTCACAGAGAAAGAATAGCGCATACATGTTAAAGTGCTTGCAGGGCTATTGACCTAGTTTTCTGTATTGCAAGGAGCTTCATGAAGTCTGATGTGCCACTCAAACAATTCGCTTAGATGGTAAGAGATTGAAATTTCCAGAATACGTATCTGTGATCCATGGAATCTTTTCAGAAATGTCCCTTATCAGAAATCATTATATCCAGCAATATACCTATCCTAAGCAGGTAAAGTTACATACTGTGGTAACATCGTAAGTTTATCGGGACATTTTGCTCTTTTTATTAGTACGTGAAGGAATTGGGAATACTGAAAATTGAGTTGAGTCTCCTCAGGGAAATAGTAACGAATGGTTTTATCCTAAGCACATGTTACTTATAGGCAGTCTTGCATATACATATGTTAGTACAGAGACAAGTAATCATACACACCTATGGGAACGGGTTATATGTTGATATAATAGACTGAGTACAACAGACCAGTCATTCAGAAAAGCTCATTTTAAACAAGAACCTACGCACGAGGCCTGTCATCAAGTGCTAAAAGTCTCCTACCTAATTTGAATAAATTAAAATCAAAAGACAAGTAAATCACCTCAGAGTTTGCAAGAAAAAAAACATAAATATGATCATGATGTGTATATGATAGGAAACACACAGTGAGAGCTGTGTAATACCATGAACATGCTTTCATTCTTATTGCCTAGAATTATGAAACTGCATTTCCAGCAGAGATCCTGCATACAAAATAAAGACAGATTTAAGATTTCCTTAAATTAGGCAATCTCAAACTATGCACTGAAGAGTGAACCAAAGAAGTTCTAATCAAGAGGATTACTCCGACTTAAGTAATAGATAGATTGAAGTAAAATGGTATCAGAGTTAACCTTTTGCATCTTTGCCGTCCTAGACACTGACTTCCCACAAGTACTGCATCATCATGCTAAAAAAAATGTTGAACAGCCACTCTGGGGATGGGAGTGGCTCTTGAAAAATTCTGTGAGGAAACATGCACGTCATGATATGTTGATCTAAACTGCTGTCAATATAGGCAAGCATCACATTGCATTATTCTTTCATTACCTCACCAGCATTTTATAGTTAGTTCTACACTGCCAAGTTTTTAATCTCACAGCTGCACACTTTGTGAGAAGTCAAGCCACGCAATTCACTAGTTACCCAATAAAACTAACCATAAGTTTTTCATTATTGGTTCACCTTGAGCTCATATTGAACTTTCAAGTACAGGAATTTATCAGCTGTACCCTGATGTGCTAACTATACAGTTAAAATAAAGCATCAATGTAGAACCATACAGAAAAAGTCTTCTCTTATCTCTGCCTCACACTGAAAGCTTGACCTTCTCTAGTTCTCTCCTGGACATGTTAAGTGCCTGTTTGGGATGCTGTTATAGGGAGTCAAAGATGCAGGTTTATATACCTTTCAGGTAGAAGAGGGATCAGAGCAGAGATCTCCCACATTCTGAGCGCTGACAGCTCTGCAACCACATCTTTCTTTTATGGAGAAGCTAGGCATCTAACTTAGTACCTTCTTTTTGTGCATGTATCAAACCAGTTCATTTTAAGAAGGTCACTACTTGGCTCAAGCTCATAAGCAGCCAACTTGCTGTGGAACTGCACCGGCCTTTTGGGGGAGGATAGCAGGTTGGCAAGCATTATTCTCAGAGTTCAAAAACATGCCCAGATCTAACTGCTTGCTAGAGAAGCAGAAAATCTTTTGTTCATCAGAACTAACATTTCACATTGGGAATGACTCTTGAATGTGTCCCATACAGCCCCATCCTGCAGTCTTGCAAATGAAAATGTCAAGGACAGGTGCCTCAATTATTTGCTTCCACTAACTTTGACATTTAAACTCATTTTTTGATTACAAGTAGGATCAATTATTTCTAGCACAGAGGGGTGAATTGCAACAGCAAAGAAACTGTCCTGAAAAGGAAAGAAAGAATGATAGCGATCACAGCAAAGCTATCTCCAAAACTTGTTGTATTTGGTTATGAGAAGTGTTATGTTGTACCTGATTGTAGAGAGCGTATTTTCTCTTAAAACCACAATCCAGCTACACAAAATAGGAGAAAAGGAACAGCATCTTTCTCAAGTATTGTAGAAGGGAAACACATTTTCTTGAGCATTGTTTTCCCCCAGAAGTTTTTAAGAAAAGCTGAGGTCTAACACACATTTGAAATAACTTCATAATGATGCTTTCAAAACACAAGCTAAATAATCACACTCTTAGTTTATTGCAAACTGATTTGGATCCTTAATAAGTTGTCAGTGAATTCAACCAAGGCCCTCCATTTGCTACAAACAGTAACTTCTGTTGATACATGACCAAATTGTGAATATAGTGTATCTACTTCAGAGAAAATAGAGAAACCCTATTTACCTCACTGGGATGCCTTTTTTTTTTTTTTTTTTTTTTTTTTTTTTTTTTTTTTTTTTTTTTTTTTTAAATTAAGAAAAATAAAGTTATCTTTTTGCCACAAATAATGGAAATCATTAAGTGCATAGGTACTAAAACTGAATGGAGAAGTTCAGTGCTAAGTTCAAAAGCCATCTGTTCTCTTCAGATAGAGAAATCTCTCAGATTGTCTCCAAACTTAGAAAAGAGAAGTCTACATTGCATTGCAGAACAGTACAGGCATCTCCACATTACTTTGTTTTCTCCAATAGTATAAATGTGCTCAGCTGTAAAGCTTCCAATTTGCAGCTGATCCAAAGCTAATCAAAAATCCACACAAGCATAAAGACACAGTACTGAGTCACGAAGCAACGATTTACACAGTTCTTTTTCCCAATAAATACTTTGTGTTTATTGTGGATTCCTCTATTTCACTAGTGACTTTACATACTTAAAGACTGTCTTATTAATAATTTTATGTAATAACCATAGCATCAGTAATAAAAATCAATGCCTACAAAAAAGTGACTCACTAGCTTGTTGATGATGCTCTTCTCCACTTTGGAATGGGTTGAATTCATAAGTAGATACTTTGCTTTTCAATAACAATGTCAGAACATTGTCCACCTTCTCTACAGAAGAAAACTTCAATGCCTACTTAAAAGAAAAAAAATAAATTAGTGCATTTGTTGTATATGTATTTTTAACTTTATCCTCAGAGTGCTGGTGAACCAAATTACACAGAGCAGTATTATTACAAACTCACTCTTAGTAAGAGCAGCACAGTTTTTGAAAACTATATAAGGGATATTCTAATATAGAAGAAACTAGATAACGTGGTCCAACTGCAGAAAAACGTTTATAATAACATCAGAAGTTCAGCCATCACTTAAAAACTTCTGGACGAAGTATAAGGATGGGAAGATTTATGTTTTATTACAGCAGTAATTCGGGATGAGTTTATAGTTACTCAAAACCTTGTGGGCTTGTCTAGGTAGGAAACAGCTTCAGCTCCATCAGCCAAGGCTTAACATTGCTGACAGAATAAGAAACTGTTATCAACAAGATAGATTCGTTTACTAATAAACACACAGTCTTTAGACAAGGGAAATTCTCACTGACTGCCATAGGATCCTTTCTGGATTGCCTCCTTCTGGACAGAAGACCAAGATCTATTCCTAATGACATTCAAGGTAGCCATAATTAAGTATTTCTTTGCTTGGCATGACAAGAAAAGCGCAACTACAGTGATTTGAACAGTGAGAATATTTTTACACGTGCTACTCTAGTCTGTGCTGCACTGGGCACCCAAAGGAGCTCAGCCACAGCAGAGAGGCACTCAGGGGGAGCTGGTTTACTCTGCTCAGATGTCAGCAGCCCTGCATTAAAGTTTGCCTTCCCATAGTTGAACTGCTTCTGGTCAAGACCATTCGGGGATCACTAAAAGGGAACATCTGCAGACATGCTTAGCATATGAACTTAAAAAGAAACTCTCCGACTGACATGTTGAGCAGAAAAAGGACAGAGGGGTGGTCTACTGATGAAACATGAAGTTTAATTCCCAAGGCTGTTAAAAGGGAATGAGAAAGTAAGTATGATGTGACCAGAAAATGTTGAATGCACAGGCAGGATATAATTTTCATCTGACTCCTACTCAGAGGAAGCTAACAATATGATTGTTTATTTTTCCCATAATTAACCTCGGCCCTTCCAATATTATGACACATAAAACCCATCATATTTCTTTTCATAATTCACTCCCTTGCTGTACTGTTACATTACATTCCCTGTATTTTTTATTCCATAATGATGAATAAATAAATTAATCTTCAATAACCAAAGCAATAAGCATTAAAAAAAAAAGTCTGCCTGGGAAAAAAAAAACTTGTTCTAGAAAAAAAATCTAACCTGAGTACTGGACTTTCAGTGTGAATTGAGAGAGCATGTGCAAAACCTCCCAAATATCTATAAAACCCCCAAGCTATTAACATGAGTAACAACATTATATTTACAAACTATTAAGAGGAATAAGGAAGTTAAGAAACCATGTTATTCTCTACTTCTTCCAAGCAGATCTTCTTAGATATGGTATCTTCATCAGTACTACCTTCATAAAGTTCAGTCTAGAGTAGGACAAAACCAAGTAACAACACAGGAACTACCTCAGGTGAGTGTATATTAAGATACTGTGTCATGAAGAAAGATGCTCAAAACCACTGGTATTCACTGAAGCAACTATATAGCAGAAATTCTACTATATAGAGAATAAGAATATAGGTGGGCTTCTAGACAAACTAAACCCAAAGCAATATTTTTAATCTCTATTTAAAATGACAGGGACACCCCTCACACATTTTACTACCTATCTAAAAAAAAAAACCAAACTGCTGATGTTAAAAAAAAAGTACAAACAAAACAACGAAAAAACACCCCAAGAACATCTGCATCCAGAGGAGCAACTTCAGACAGAGTCCATTTCAGACTCTCTTGTATATCAAAGCCAAATAAACACCCCATAGTCTCTTTTCAGCAAGCACTGAGTAATCTTGCCTAGAAAGTTCTTCTGCTTTTTCATATGACCTGAGGCAAGAATCCTTCCTTATCCCTTTTATTTGGTCAGAAATCTAGGGGAGGAGTACATTAAGAATGCATAGCTCTCACTTCACTCTCAATCAAATTTACATGGAGTAAAACAAGGTTTCACAATCTGAGATGGAACAAGTTCTTGAACTGAGCAGTGCACACAACTTCAGGAATTTGCAGCAAAATTTTTAAGGCCATACAAAGTTGCGTAGTTTATCACATCAGGCTAGTTTGGTTTTTACAAGCTGTTGAGACAGATAACAATTTGTTCAATAATGATGAATACATAAATTAATTTTCAATAATCAAAGCAATAAGGATTAAAAAAAAAGTCTCTGCCTAGGAAAAAAAGATCTTTGAAACTTGTTCTACAAAAAAAAAAAAAAAAAAACCAACTGATTAAATTAGAGTTAAATTTCTCATACTTTACAGAACTTCCAGCATACCCATTTCTATGATTTCCAAATCAAGCACCATGCATTTCTTATAGAGTTATCAGTGCAATTTTCTTCAAGTTTTCCACCTCAATTTTTTTTTCCTCTTACTCCAGGGATCTAAAATCTGAAGATTCAAGTACTTATTTAACAAGCTACATTGCTAACTAAACCATAACAAGTAACTTCATTCTGCTACTCTACAAAGAAGACACAAAATGAAAATCTAGATTAGTTCCTAAAAAATAAACAAATCTGTCAAATCTTCCCAAGAAATCTCAGTAATACTAAAAACCTGAAGTTCATGTTGAAAGTTCACCAAAGCCAAAAGAAGCAGAACTGTATTTAAAATAAAGCACACTGCAAGGGAGTGCTGAGGCAGTCGGGAGTTTGAGGAAGCCCACATTTTATCCGAATAAAGATCTACAACCTGACAGAAAAGAAGTAAAAGTGCTCCTTCCCCCAGTGTCCTTGCAGCCACTCAGAATTAAGCTAGTGAGTTTGCAGGCAATGCTTCCCATCGTCTCTGCAGCACAGCCACCTGTTCTCTGCTTCACCCGTGTCAGAGTGAAAGCTTGATCCTTCTGCAAGCACTACTACTTGCTCCAGAGCTCATCATCAACAACTTAACCCAGCTCAGTAGCAGCTCCCCAGGTGCAGGCACTATCTCCCTTCCCTCACTCCTTTTTAGAGCAACAGGACACAGCTGTGAACAGAAAAACCCCAGGTGCTGACCATCACACCTGGGCTTCCAAAACATCCTTAAAAAGGGAGGCCGCCAAGCACATATCTTGCTACTTTTGCAAATAAGATGATCTACTTTCTTTAGTAACTGCTCACCAAGCCCTGAAAATCTGTGCCACTGAAATGCAGCATACACAGCCACTAAATAATTGTATTCCACACTGACTTTAGCAGTACTAACAAGGTTACATTTACATAAAGATGAACTTCTCCAGTAGTTCTTACATATCAGACTCTACTTTATATGCACCTCCATATCTAGATTACTTCTACCAAAGAGCATGGGCTAGGTTTAAAAATCACTCAGGCATTTCTGACAACTTTAGTCAGTGACAGAATATGGAGAGCTTTCATAGCTAGAGGAAAAGAAAGAAACATTTTAAAATAACAGCTGCTGACGTGGCTGAAAAAAATTGAAATATCAAATACAGTTTCAAAGGTAGTATCTCTGGGGATCAGGTAAAGGCACATACATAATATCACCACATAAGTCATATAGCTTTTTACAAGTTTAAAGGCTGCAGTTTATTTTCATTCTTCTTTTCCAATATGCACCATCACTGGAATCCTGTTTGATGACTGATAAAAACATCATCTCTGATACCGAGTATCTCAGAATCATAGGAGTACTATTCAACCAAAGTTTGTTACAAAGACTTCCTTAATCTCTCCAGATATTCTAAGTCACTCAAGCTAATATGAGCATAATTTCCATAATAAGGATATTACCTTTTTCAACTTTGTTTTTAAACCTAATAAATCAGTGCCAGTAAACTCCAACACTAAATAACTGAACAAATAACTCCCTTTGACAGAAAAGCTGAGAGAAAAAACAATGCAGCATGTAAATCCAGCATGCCGAAATAAGAAGCTGATGAGAAGTAAAAAATATAGTTTTTATTTATGAATTTAAGAACCTTAAAATCAGCCTGTACACTGGGTTACTGTGAGAACATAAACTCCCTAAGAAAGTTTCTTTTAATTCAGAATTATATAAAAGAGAGATAAAAAAGAGGGAATCAAAAATCATGGCCTTTAGCCAACCTTCACCCTCCTACATTCTTACAGCAAGTTCATTCAGCATTATGATTGAGTTATTATGATCCCAGCTCTTCCCACTTTACTACAAGATTTCAGGTTTTTGCTTTTGAAACCTATGCAAAGAAACTTCTTTCAACTGCTTTATTTATTTCATTACATTTTAATATTTTTCTGGTTGCTTAAAATGTCTTGCTGATATTGGTAAATGTCTTTTAAATTCAGACAAATTTGGAACACAGAAAATTACTACCTATCAGATGTAGCGAGTAATTTTATCCAAAGCCTTAATTTGTAAAATCTTAGATTACGTTTAATCTAAACTTAAGATGATGTCAATCTTTAATTGCTCTCTAAATCCAGATTCATAAGTGCAGCAGTACCACACTTCGTTAGTCTCGCACCGAGGTATATGAACTGACCTGACCATGAGTAACAGGAATGGACAGCTGGAAGTCTATTTATTGGGGTTTGTGTATTTGTTTGGCTTTACTGGGGGACAAAGTGGAACATCTCGAAAGGGGAAAGCTTGGCAAAACAATATACAATACAGTGAAAGCATTTCACCAAAGCACCGTGTCTTTGGTACACGCTATCGTAGCAATTTGCTTTCATTGCAGAATTTAAACAAGGAGATACTTCTCAGATTGCAAGCACTTGTGAAAATCCTGAACTTTTCTTTGAACCACAGAGTGATATTGCTTTGATCAATAATTGCTGTAAGCTTTTCTATTTTATATCAGTTTTGTTTTTCATTGTGTTTGATTGTTACTTTGCATAGATAAATGCCTGTTGCCCCAGGATACTTTTGCAAATAAGCTGATAGTCTCAAAGGTTTTAATTATCATGGTTAAATAAAAGTTACTACTACTCCTGCTACTTCATGGGAATTCTAATTAGTATCAAGTCTGTTTTGTTTTTCCTTTTGTGAACATATTTTAAAGATTAAGTTAAATTATGCTCTGTAAATTGCATCTTTATAATGTATTTTATTGACATTAAATCAGTTTAACGTGAGAGCTGATTTAAAAAGTTTGAAGAAGTATTTCCTAGTGTGCACTGCTGCTCCACACAGAATTATTTTTGCATTTGAATATGATTTGAATTGCATGTGTTTTATTAAATATTAGTCATGCTGGTTAAATGAAGGGTCAAACTCCTGAATATCACAAATAGCTCTCCAGTGGAAACAGCAGGTGTGCTTTAGGTATCTAGGTTACCATGTTAATGACAACACTTCTTATGCATAAAAGTTTAAATGAAATGTGTTGGAAGCTTACTTTGATGTAGTTCAAAATACAAGCTAAAGAAGGACAGATACTATAAAGAATTTAAGAATCCATTTGTACTTTGAGTTGCACTATTTTTCTTGTGCAACAGCCTGTTTTCTTAGAACAGAGGTAACTTGTATTTGGAAGGAATCCACCCCCATCCTTAACAGAACACTAATAATGCAATACATCATTTTTATTAATCCTTTTGTTATGAGTGTAATGCCTTAGGTGGTGGACAAGGTAGATTTGTCACTGGAAAATGAGACTGTCTGCATTGGAAACACAGACTATTATTTTTGTTCTGGCTTTGCAATTACAATATAGACATCATGACAAGTCTGCTTGGGCTACCCACTATTCAACAAATGATACTTGAGATTCCATCCTTTCTCAATATGTGCTTTCTTTTCTTGTTATTTCTTATGTGCCACTGGCAAGGAACAGGCTGCAGAGCACTGCAGTCTGCTGTGCTGATTTGAAACCCAGCTCAAAACCTGATTTTTTTCTAAATATACGCAAAGAATCTGCATGGCAACCAGCAAGCAAATCACATGAATGATACAGCAGCTGTAAATGGACTCTATACGAATAGCAATCTACTGCCTCCCATACAAGCTATGCCAGAAAAACCCCATTTGCTGGCAAATGAATAATAACCCTCCAAATACAATGTGGTTTAAGATTACTTGCTTCTATTGGTTTTGGAACATGTGCAAAATAACACTTTAAATGGAGAGGGACTTCACTAATATTTGTTCTTATTTTCATCCTTTGTACACTGGTCATTTCCGTATCACAAAGGATGTTTATGTCACTCTCTAAACAAAAACAAGAAAAGAGAAAATTTGTTTTCTCTTGCCTGCCTGGATTACAACTAGATATCTCAGAGACAGGCTTCTTAATCCTGAGCATATTATTGAGCCATTACTAATTACTGTGTAATCAAAAGATTGCATATTATCTCTTAGTTCATATAAGCACTTACATTCTATTTTTCTTTAATTAAAAACTGAGAATTCAACTTACCTGACAAGTGAAAGCTATTGGGTCAGCCACTTTCTTTAAAATGGGCTCAATCTCCTCTAGTGCAGTGTAATACTCAATGAGTGCTGTGGTCTTAACGATTCCCCCACAGTAGACATTTACATATACAGGGCCAGCAGGAAAATCTTATAAAACACAAATTGGAACAGTAGCTGAAAATATTTTACAGTCTCAGACCAGAGATCTCAGGGAATGAGTAAAAGAACAGGAAAATATCACAGGAAAAAGCACAGAGTTGATGAAGTGGATTTGCATTTAACAGGTGATTCAGTGTAGTCAGTTTTTTATTCATGTCTTTCAGTCCAACATTACAAAGCTGACAAAAGAAAATACATATCTGTAAATCTGTAGAAAGCAAAGCTGTTGTACTGCTCCGCATTAGAAATGAGATGAAAACAGAATGCTAAAAATTTCCAATTCCCCTTTGTAGACTGATGACCTATAATCAGCTCCCTTATGCCTACATATTAAGGAAAAGTAGAATTGCTATTCAATTTTTGAAAAGTTTTCCTTAATTGCAGTCAAGGTTCTCAAGACTGGATTCGAGCTAGGCTGAAGAAATTGCAGTATAATTAATTCCATTTCATTTGTTTACCTCGTAAAAGCAAAAGGAAAGAGGCATTCATAGTCTTTTGCTTAAGTATGACTCGCTTTGTGCGGGCAGCACAAACCTACTTTATGAGCACATTTCCCAATTCATTAGTATTTATTGTGCCAGGCATTCTGCTGGACCACACCAGCACAGTTTTCTTAAAATACTAACTCTGCCCACAAAACAGTGATAAAAGGGACAACCCTGAAAATGGAGAAGAGTAATGGGACCAAAATAAGTAATCTAATAGAACATTATGTTAAATCACTTAAATGGAAACTGGCCAAATGCTTTAAAAAAACCCAACCAAACAAACAAAAAAAAAAACAACCAACCCCCCTCCCCCCCAAAAAACACCCAACCCCCCAAAGAAACCAACCAAAAAAACCACACAAAAAAAACAAACCAAAAGAGACTTTTTACAAACATCAGATTGGCTGGACCAAAAAAGGATACTCCCAGATTTCCAACTTCTCCAGATTTTTGAAAGACATTAATGACATTATCATTTAATCAATTTATCATTAAGGCCAAATGATATAAAAATGAAACTTGGGCTACAGCCCTCTGTAATTTTTTTTCCTATTTCATTTACTGTTCATATTTTGCTTCTTCATCCACTAGAAAACCCTTCTTATGATCAACAACGTTCTCACAAAGCAATTTTGGAAGAATCTTTTACGATCTGTGAATGAGGATTTCACCTTTTGTTCTCTGAAATCCAGCTACAGATAAAAGCTGCCTGTTGTTTATTTACTTCTCAGACAGGTTGCTAAAACAAACTCTCTGCACCATCCCAGTGATAAAGACCTTTCAGGCCATATGTGACCATCAGCCCAGGGCAGTGTTCAGGATGAAAATCACAGAATCATTTCGGTTGGAAAAGATGTCTAAGATCACTGAGCCCAACCTTTGACCGAACCACCACCTTGTCAACTAGACTTGCCACGTCCAGTCATTTCTTGAACATTTCCAGGGATGGTGACTCCCCCACCTCCCTGGGCAGTCCATTCCAATGTCCAATCACACTTTCTGTGAAGAAATTCCTCCTAATGTTCAACCTAAACCTCCCTTGGTGCAGCTTGAGGCTATGTCTTCTTGCCCTGTCCTCGGCTACCTGGGAGAAGAGGCTGACCCCCATCTGGCTACAACCTCCTGTCAGGTATTTGTAGAGAGCAATAAGGTCTCCCCTGAGCCTCCTTTTCTCCAGGTTGAACAAGCCCAGCTCCCTCAGCTGCTCCTCGTGTGACTTACTCTCTAGACCCTTCACCAGTTCTGTTGCCTTTCTCTGGACTCACTCCAGCACCTCAGTGTCTTTCTTGCAGTGAGGGGGTCCAGAACTGGACACAGGACTCAAGGTGTGGCCTCACCAGTATCGAATCACATAGAATTACCCAAACCTAGCTCCGAGAAGCCACAGTGGAAAATTGTAGCTTATATGTATACATTTTCTCCTATCTAGTGTTCTATTGCAATCGTTTTAGAGTAAAATGTAGGTTCCTTTGGGAATTCACAGCATGCAATGCAGTAGCAAACTATACTCTGAATCCATAGGTGAAAAATCTTTAATTCTTAACTCACATCAAAAGGGTGGAGACAGGTGTGGCCACTAAATCTGCACAGATCTTCCAAGAGAAACTGTTGTTAAATAAGTGAAACTGTTAGCATTTTAGTTATGGATCATGGGGTGGAAAAAAATCATTAGAAACCTGCAAAGCTGAGTGATACAGAGAAATGGCATGAACATGCACAAAGAAAAGAAATTATTTCCTGCATCAGTAAAAATTATAGAGGGAAGTATAACCAAATTTACTGCATTAAATATAAAATGAAACGTTTTAGTAATAGAGTAATAAGAAAAGAATATTAGCTTTGCATTTTATGGCCGTAATTTTGAATAATGTTAATCTGTAACTAATCAATGACATTTTAAGACTGCTACCTGCCATTTAACCACAGAAAACCAATCTAAGAGAACCTAGTTTCCCATAAATCACAAGGCCTTGCTTTTCTGCATTATTAATAAAAGTTCTGTGTGCAAAACCCATATAAAGGAAACACCTACAAAATAGAAGGAAGTGAAAGTAGTTATCAGAAAAAGTAAAGGGAGTTGAAAATTTTCAATTTACTTAAAGGTAAGGAGTATTTTTCTTACCTAAGGCTTTCACGTACTTGACCTTCTTATTCCAAGAGGCTGTCTGTGTCCTAATTCGTTGATTTTCTGATATGAATTCAATTTCTAGAGTTTCATCATCTATTTCATCTTTCAACAGAATGAATATTTCACCAGGGTTCTATAAAATTAAAATGTGTTCCCATTAGTCCTTCAGAAAATTATACTGAAAGTTTAAAATTATGTTTAAAGAGTATTGAAAGAACTTTCCTTTACCAACAGCTTTATGCAAAAAAATCATACTACCAAAACATGATGCTACCTCTAAATAATAGATTATAATTAACTAAAAAATACCTTCAGTATTTTACTGACATAAATGACACAATTAATGTAGGAATTTAAATTCAGCTTACCTAACAATATTTTGAAACAGTATTTTAAATGCATATATAGGTGAATTGTTACATTTTCTAAGGCCGCTCTATAGTCTAGGAGAATGACATCCATTCTAATAAGAACCTAAAATACTTTAGAGTCACTTAAACTCTTACAGTGAGCTGACAGTAAAGTAAGATAGACACAGCAGGTGATGTGAGACAATACCCCTCTACTACCTCCTGAACCAGGGGGAAAGTTACTCTCCTAGAACTGTACTGATCCCAACAATGAAACAATGTGTGCAAGTCATCGTTAAAAAACAGACAGTAAGCAAAATGGGTGACATTCTATGTACACTGCAACCCCCATATCTGACCATGGCCACTCACTTATATAAAGGAATGCAGTGCTGGATTTTGTACTTCCTCTGTTTACACCGTCACATATTTCTCACAGCAACTGATTAAAAACACATATGAACATTTACGTCCATTGAATACGCATGCAGATATGTATATATAAATATTTCTGATTTAATTTTAAGTCCCACTAGGTACATGCTTACACAAGCACTTGCGTAATTCATGCTATGGGCACATATACACGTACCCAAACGCCCGTCATGGCTTCTTGCCAAGCGATACTCCACATCTCTCAAGAAGAGCCTGACTACACGCTCCCTCTAAACTATCGGGCCCTCATGACAGTAATACTTCTACTCAAGCTGCCAAATAAATCTAATAGAGCTAAAATACCTCAGAGGCTATCTCCAAACTATTTTATCTGCAAATCTTTTGACTGCAGTGCGGATGTGACACAAAGGCAAAATAAATCCCACTGTAGTCTCAATGCACTCTCATTTGGCCCCTTAACAATTTTGTAAACAAATAGTAGATATAGTACGATTAGACTGCAGAAGGAAGAGGAGAAGAACATTGAAAGTTATCCCAAAAATTTTAGCATCCAAAAATCTTACCTCACATGATACTCTTCCTGGAAGCACCAATATCGACTGCTCCTTAGTTTCCAAACTTTTTGAAAGTACCTCATTTTTAGAACTGAAGTCTGTTGTTTCTGATGCTGCCATGACATTTGACAAATTAATATCAGAGCTAGTCCGGTGATCTGAAATAAATAATGTGGTATGAGAACATTGTAAATAATCCAGAATCAACACAACACTGTAATGATGTGTTTTCCAATGTATTACTCATATGGCATTTGGAGTCACATTAAAGGGTACTGCATGAAAGCCTGGAAAAATTCCTTTAATGTAAGTGTGATGACAAAGAGCTTGCCTCTCAAGTTCTGATCCTGCAGCCTTAATTTACATGAACAGGCTCTGCTCATACATTTGTCTTACTAAAATCAAAAGGGACACAGCCTTTAGACCAAAATCATTGTGACCACCCAGGTCACAGAGATCAGACAGTTTTGTAGTCTCAGAAAAACAGATTCTCATACACTAGGATAAAATGGGACTTCTACCACTCTTCCTTTCCCCATACGAAAACAAACACATGCTATATGTTTACAACATCTGCCCACCTATCTGCAGGAAGGGTTAACATGAGGGCAGTGATACCTGTGACCAGGTAACTGTGAGAGTAGGCACAGACTTCCTCCATAGTATTTGCCTGCATTAATGGATGGAAGGCATACATTTTTTTAATTGGATGATCTGGGTTTGGAAATGCTATGCCTGTCATACAAGTAGCTTGCAATCACGTTCTTTTCTGTTTTGCTGTACCAGAAAAGGCCGAAGAGCCACTGTGAATCCTTCACCGTATTTTAATCCTTCCCAGAATTTTAATGATGAAATAGAACTGATGACTGCATCTGCAGAGCTCTGACTAAGCCTGTGTTTTAGCAAAGGTATTCTTCACACCTGCTACTTCTCAGCTGTATCATTACTACTCCTTTCCAGACACTCTATTACCCTGTATGAAACACTCTCGCCACCCATCTCAAAGGACTGCAGCAGCTCTTCATCATGCAGGATTACTCAGGATACTGCAGTCACCTAGTCAGATTATTGATATCATTGCATGCAATTCAGAGTTAAAACCCTGACTGGCTGATGAGAAAATATCCTGAGAGACATTCACAGTATCTTGTATTACTGTAAATTATGAAACACTCACAGTCAATTACATTCAAGGATACAAAGAAATTTTCAGGCACATCTTTTCCTCTTAAATGGGTGTAGAATATTAAAATAAATTAGTGATGGGCAGAATGCAGAACAGTAGTAATTTGGCTTTGCTCAAACAGTACCACAGGCATTTTGAGTTTTTTGCAAAAGTGCCCAAGTGACTGAGGTACACAAACCACACAGTGCTCCTGAGTGGCACAGAAACCTTTCCAGTGAGTGTCAATATTGGATATTTACAATTACTTTTCTCACTTGCTTGCCTTTATTCAGTTCATCTGATTCATATGCACCAATTCATCTGATACAGAATGTTCTCTTTCCTTACCAATCCTGCCTTGCTTGGATTTTAATTAACTACTACTACAGTAAATGTACCTGCTGAGTGAATTATGCCAGGGCATGCTATATCTGATGTAGAATTTTTTTTTTTCTCCAGAAATGTGCTTTGATTGTTAGTGAGATCTCAGAAAAAGGGTAAAAATAATAATAGAAAAGAGAATAACATTTTTCCACATTTCCTCAAGGAAGCTAAAGTTTCTTTGAACATCTAAGGTAGGTGAGTTTGGTGATCAACCCTAGCTACTAAAATCTACCCAGTTTACTCCTGCTTACACTCAAAAAAATTCTGAATTTAAGCTGTGAATTCAATGCAGATTGGTAAAATTACACTGAACCTACGGAAGTACTATTAATTCCATTTGCTTTATTTTAGAAGTTAAATAGGCTACAGTGAACAAAGGCTATTTTGATTCCAAATGAGAGCCCCCACACAGTTCAATGCAGTTTAACTAATCCAGCTCAAAATATAAGTACACTAATTTCTCTGATTATCACTGTGAAGACGAGACTTTATTTAGCACCGCCCTTCAGAAAAAGGAAGTTCTGAACCCTTGCTGAGGAAAACAGGTCGGATACTTTACAGCAGCCTTACAAGGTCTACTAGAAAGATGGAGAGGGACGTTTTACAAGGACATGCAGGGATAGAACAGGGGGAATGGTTTCAAACTCAAAGAGGGTGCGTTTAGATTAGATACTAGGAAAAAATGCCTTATAGTGATGGTTCTGAGACACCTGAATAGGTTGTCCAGAGAAGCTGTGGATGCCTCATCCCTGGAAGTATTCAAGGCCAGGTTGAATGGGGCTCTGAGCAACCTGGTCTAGTGGGAGGAGTTCCTGCCTATGGCCAGGGGTTTGGAACTAGGTGGTCCTTTCCAACACAACCACTCTATGATTCTATAATACTGTATGCCCAGAGCACATACTTTGGGAATATTATGTGTTCACATTTCAAGTCACTCATAAACCTTACACTTAAACACACAGAATTCACTTCAGAGAATAACTCACATGAGGTGCACGCTGCTTCCAAAATTTTTTTTGGCCACTTTAGGCAAAGGAGTCTCACAGAGAAAAGAAACCTTTCATTATCAGATTGACAAAATGAAAGGAATGAATAACAAATCTGGTAGGCACTGTATTCTCAGATGTCAGCCGTCTGTCAGTGATCGTTCTTTAAGGATCATGTAGATGCATCCTAATCTATGTGAAGTTCATGACAACTTTATTTGTAGTCTGCACTCTACTTATCAAAGATGACAGTAGTCACTTTTACCTCTTAATGCCAATAATTCATCTACTGAGAACATTAATGCTAGTGCTAACAAGTTGGTTTAAATTAGGATAACATTTTCCTCCCCCATTAATTGCATTTTAATATTTTTATTATGCCTTATGATATCTAAATATAGTATCAGAACTTCATCCCAGTCACTACTGGGATAGCACAGCTATACAATAACAGAAAAACTATCAAAAAACGTGGTTCTTATATCAAAGACTTGGATATTTAAGATATTTAAGGGATTGCCTGTTGACTCTGAAAGCGGTTAGTAATTTCTTAGCTAAAAACCATCAAGCAAGGCCTCTCTCACTAAATGTCAGGTCTACCTGACAAACACTGAACTATGTACAACAGTCCAAGAACCACAGCGATCTGTATTATCACTACTATATATCTAGTAACAACACTTCAGAGTCACCATCTCCAGCAGTCAAATTCCTACCAGCAGTTGCACACTACCCTAAAATGTGGAACATAAGCAACCGTACAAAATGTTGTCTGTCAATGCTGAACAAGGAATACACCAGAGATTACACAAGGCTTGGCTTCTCAGCATTAAGTGAAACAATGTAGCTCATAAAGGTGTGAATACTACATTAATGAAACTGTAGTAACACAAATGGAGCAATGTATATCCTCTTTACATTCTTGCTTTTAACCTGAAAGCAATGGCTAGGGAGCTCCACCAGCTGTGGAGGCTTTCATAAAAATGGTCATTTAACAAGAATTTACAACTGAGGTTGAAGATTAGCTTAAAAGAAACAAAAAAGGAACATCATTATCATGCTGGAATATCTAAGAGAGAGGGTTTATTAAAGGGTATTTGTTGCTTGGTGAATGTGTTCTTTTAATGTTTTATATAATGGTGACCTATCTGTGAGGTTTTTAAAATGTAGCAGTAATTATTAAAATAATGGATGAATAAAACCAGACCCTTTCTTGTAGGATCAAAGTATAAGAAATTATTAACTATATCTAATGATGCGTAGACAACACTAAGAGTTAGAAGCTAAAAAGAAAGGAAAAATCTATGATAATTGTCCCTTGAGTAATCAGGGCAGTACTACTGGGAATTACCATCTATTATAGAGGGTAATGCTTCATTTCCATCAGGTTACTTTTGTTGGCTTACTTTGAAAAATATCTACTGCTGATGGTCACAACTGAAAGGACTGATCTTAAATTTAAGTCCATTTTAAATAGTAAAATATCACACACATTTACTGTAACAGCTATTCACTTAATTGGGGAGGGTGCTGATGTTTTCAATTTCACTTCAATATTCTCTCCTAATTCATGTAACTTCAGTACATCAACTTGGTATATTTTACACAAAACCCTTTGGAACACATTATTGCTTTCAATTTAACATTTTGAACTAAATTCATGACATGATTTTGAAATTGCATTCCTTTACATAAATTGAGAAATTTTAATAAAGCCTCTCTAGTCTCCTGTGTATTCAACAAGTAATGCTTCAGCATGGCTTCTAAGCAACTTTCCTGCCATGTCCAATCTTCCCCCTCCCCCCCAAATCCTAACACTTCAAATACACTCTTTAGCTATCCTTATTGCAGCCTACATGAGAATTATAAGTATTCACTGTCTTTGTTTACTTGGTACTTGCTACATGTTTTGAGTCAACAATGTATGTGATAGATTTAGGGCATTAAAAATAGCAGAAAACAAACTTATGAAAGATTCATGTGTTTTTTAAGGCTACCCATGGAATGAATCTCTCAGTCAAAACTAAGCAGGTTTTACAAAAGCAAAATGCCTGCTGGCTTCACAAATTTCAGTTCTTCCTCAAGATTTGCTAAAGCAATGCTAGCTGAAGAACTGAAACCGTGTTACAGAAGAGGTCCTCAATTAGCCCTAGATCACACATCACACAAGAGGATGAGAAATATGGGCAGATTAGGTTAGGCAGGTGACAAGAAATGGAAGGGTAAATTAGCGCATGTGGCCAGCTTGCCACGTGAAAGAGCAGATAGGGTATTCCAGCGTCAAAGATTAAAATAAGGAGGATTACAGCAAATCATTTAAGTGCAAGAGTCACCCTATCTTACATGCTAGGCCCACGCTCCAGCACAACATGAGGTAAGAACAGAGGTGGTCCCACTGGGTTCTGTGAGGTAAACTGAAAAGGTTCTCATGCATAAGTGACTTCCTTGCAATTCAAAAGCCTGAAGTCAAACACGTGTGAGCGCCCTGAGGAAATATGGATTAAAGTAGAGTCATACTGAAAACGCAAAGGAACATTCTGTAATGCAGAAAAAAAAAAATCAGGAAAAAAGGATGTACGCACATCCTATTCTTCCTGCAATCCACCATAACTTTATCATAGAT